ACAGAAGCAGGCAGGGCACTCACACTCGGAGCACTTTCCCGGAATCGTCGCAGGCAACGCCATTCCATGTGTTGGGGGCCGTGACTGGCGAGCCCACGAGGGTGCAGAGGGCATCGACCCGCCAGTCTGGAAACGACACTCCCAGCGCCACCTTCACATTCATCAGCGCAGCGGCTTGAGTCGCATCCATGGGCAGACTTGCAGCAGCGGTGCAGACCAGAGGGAGCACGGGCGATGAGGCACTGTTGGGTGTGCCTGGTGGGAGCAGGAGGGCGGGAGGAGGAGTGACGCTGCAGATCCCCCCACCGATGATGTTGCTGCAGAGCTTGCCCTGAGCGTTCGTGGTGTTGCAGATGGCACAGGCGGCTGCTGTGCGCGGGATCTCAGTGGGCCTTGTGGGGTGCTTGCAGTTGGCGGTGGAAGCAAAGCAGTTGATGCGAGCAGAGCAGAAGGTGAGGCCGAGGGCGGGGAAGGAGCCGGCAAGGAAGTTGAACTGCACGTCCAGAGCCTTGAGAGGCGCCGCTATGCTGCCAGGCAGCGAGCCCGTCAGGTAGTTGAAGCCCAGTGCGCTGGTGGGGGATGGCGTGGGGAGGCGTTTTTTGGGGATTTTGAAGGTTGAGTGGTGCATGTGAGGTTGGTGGGATGTGATGGCATACAAGGAGTGGGACGTGAAAGCAATGACGTGAGGGGAGGTCAAAGAAGGCGCGCTTGGGCACCCCGGTGAAAGAAAAAGTGGCACCACAGGAGGTAGGTACTAGGAATGGTATCTCACAGGTTGGAGAGATTGGGAAGAGCGAGCAGGTATCCAGGGACAGTGTGAGAGAACCAGTTGAACGAGAGGTTGCTGCAAGTGGAGGGGGAAGGTTGGGTTAAGGGGGCAAGTGGATTGGATAGATAGAAAATGCAGGTGAATGAGAATGGAAGGGGGTCAAGTCAATATCAAGGCGCATGAACGCAAGTACAACACAGGGCGTGCAAAGCTGTCTCGGAGCTAGTGCTGCTGCTTAGTGGAGCATACCTTAGCACAAGTGCAAGAGACAAAGGACCTCTGTATGTGGTAGCACAGATGCTGGTAGAAAATGTGATGAGATCACAGGTGCTTGCAGCACAGGTGGCGAGAGCAACGCACATGGACTGGAGGGCAGTGAGAATGCGAAGGTGTGTGACGACCTCGTCCAGGCGGCCCTGAAAGAGATTGCTGCTCAGATCACTGGCAGCAAGGGAGAGGGCGTTGGGAAAAGATGGAGAGTGTGTGAAAAATGGAAACGGAAGGAGAGGGGGTGGGGGGAGATGGCGAGGTTAAAAACAACAACGGGAGAGGAGAGGGGCAGTAAAGCATGGAGAGAAAGGGCTCTGGAAAATGGGAAGACGCAAGGCAGATTGATGCAGCTCATGAGTGGAATGCGAGAATGAGATAGCTTTTGTCATAGGGGAGGGCATAGCTTGTGAGCAAGGCATGCATGATTACAGAGAAGTGAGAGCCGTGAGGTCGGTGACTGCAAGAGGGAGAGTGCCCGCTAGGTTGAGGCGCCCAAGTTGCCTGGAAGGAACAAGGTCGATAAGGAAGGAACAAAGTGGATAAGGAAGGAACAAGGTGGATAAGCAATACTTGTGAGTGGCAGCTGGTTGAAGTGGTGAGGAAAACTGGCAAGAGCAGCAGGTGAGAGAGCACAAGTAGCCGCAGTAGCATGATTTTTGCACAGCAAGGGAATGGTCCATAGTTGCAGAATAATCAGAAGCAGCGGAAAAGAGTGGCAGAAGCAGTGCAAAAAAACAGACTCACAAGCAGTGGTGGTGAGGACTCACAGCAGTGGTGGTGAGGACTCACAGCAGTGGTGGTGAGGACTCACAAGGTGCGGACTCGGCCGAAAGAGTTGCAGGACACAGCAGTGAGGGTGCCTGCAATGGCCGGCCCGTCAGAAGCCGTGGTGCACGGCTTGCCAACCCCCCACGTTGTGAATGTCACCCCCAGCGCGCCCTTCACTGCCAGCAGCGCTTGTGCTGTGCGAGTTGGGGTGAGGGGCGTGAGGGGCGAGGAGGGGTGAGGGGAGAGAGAGGAAGGGGAAGGTTGAGTAACAGAGATTGTGGGAGAGATGAGGCGCAGGGAGGAGAGTTGGCAGGATGGAGTGAGGATGGTAGATGGACTGAACGTACAATGAGAAAAGTCCGCCAACAAGAGACTAACTGGTGACAGAACAAGGTGATAGCATCCATGTGAGCTGGCATGGCATGTGCCTCTCGGACTGTCTCACCATCGGTCGCTTGGATTGTGACCACCGGTACTTCTGCAGTGGGCAGTGGCAGGGAGCAAGGCAAGCAAGATGGGAGGCATGAGGGTGGTGAGGGAAGGGATAGAAGAGATGGATAAACTGACCAGTTTTATTATGCACGCACTACTACATGGCATGTAGCAAGCACCACTGGAATAAGCCATGACCCACCACGATATGACAACTCATCGCCACCATGTGATGTGCCATGACTCACCAGCACAGTACATGGCAGGAGGGTCCATGTCGTCAGCATGAACGGAGATGCCATCCACATCTGGCAGGCACAGCCCTCCGAAGCACAGCAAGCCCTGCCCGTCCTCTGACTCGCAGATTGCACAGTCCTCCGCATCCCTCTGAGCCGCAGCGCTCGCCTCGCTGCACGCCATCGCACTCGCCAGGCAGTTGCTGCTCGTGTCACACCGAGTTAGTGAAGCTTTAGGAAAGAGTGCGAGAAGTTGTCTTGCAGGGCGAGAGCGAGGAGAGAGGTGTGCAGGGCTGGCACCGAGCCTGTCAGTGCATTTGCGTGCAGGTCCCTGGTGGTAGGTGGTTCGGGTGGTTCGGATAAGTTGATTCACAATGGCATGAGCCTAGTACGTTCGGTCGAACCAATTTGAGAGCGTACTCGGGCCGAACCTTTTGTTTAACCAGAATATTTGAGTCGAAATGGTTCAATTCGGTTTGACTAGAGGTGGCAAGGCGCTGACCCCTGAAACTGCTCATTTGACACCCAGTCAAACTGAACACCTGCGACTCAAACCTTAGAAGGTAAACCTCGAACCGATTCGGCTCAGGTTGAGTAGGGAGCAAGTTCGGTGCTTTCTCACTTGAACTCATTGGGTTTGAAAGTAGCACAAAGACGGATAATTTTAGAGATATATGTGGGGCAGTGGTGTGGTGTGGTGTGTAGGCATGAGCAAAGTGTCAAACTGCAGTTCGTTTCAACTTGAACAGTTCAAGTCATAGCAAACCTCTGTTGTTGTTTTTTGTCAAACATTTTTCACTCAGTTCGATGGTCTACTATATTCATGATAATTGCCTTTTGAGGAAAGTTTTAAGGGATGAATCGGGGGGAATCAAGAGCAGCAGCTGTACATTAGCAATTGCAGGAAAATCTGAAGTTGGATTTGCCCAAAAATCAATTCCCAAAATAAAAGAACATATTTTCAAGAAGCCAACATATAAATACTTCTAAACTTGGTTTGAAGGGGGCAGAAGATTCTAGGAGGAACTTGAAGCACTTAATTTGCTCCAATTCACATCTTTTTTCCAGTTAAGGCAAAACTTGTGCAACCTGAGTTGCTCGGGTTGCCATGTAGAACCGGCCTCGGAAAATGGAATTGTCGAATAGGTCGTAACAAAACCGGTTGTAATAACAGGTCAGCCGAACCAAACCGGGGGTCAACAAAAAGCCCTCGATCCGAAGCGCATGGAGTGGGAGCGTGGCTGGATGCGGTGGTGGATACTTGGATGTATTTGAGGGTTAGCTATTTGTACCACCATTGTTGCTAGTGCAAACCCTCCTTTCTTCATTCTTACTTTCTACAGCTAGTTCTGACACACAATCCCCTTGCCACGCCTCGCTCAAGGTGAGCCTGGCTCATTTTGCATTGGCGTGCCACTTTCGCCTTGGCCTGCCCTTGGTTACAACATACTTATACCTGCATGCTCTTGTTGTGGTTGTACAGTGGGTAAACACCCTAATTGGGGTGAAACTACAAATGGGTACGGCCGTTCGACGCCTCTGCAATGCCGACCAAGGGTAACATTCCAGGTGAATAAGATCCTCCAAAAGCTCCGGCAAGGGTGGTCACTTGCATTGCTGTAAAGCCCAACCCATGCCATCACGCCGGCGGAAAGCCTGCCGCTGGGAGGGCCACACACAGCCCTGTCCCCTGGGGATGGCTTCGCCGTGTTGGAGCCCCTTGTGGAGCTCCCGTAGGCCATGCTCCTTGGTTAGAAGTGGGATGCCTGCCATGCCATACCTTTTACCTCTGTGAACCTTAGTGTCATATCGATACAAGGACCATCTGAGAGAGATAGAAGAGGAAGGGGATGGACAAGGGGATGGGACCCGGGAGGGAGGAGAGGAAGAGAATTTATAGTCGGGAGAGTCAGAAGGGGAAAAGAGGAGAGAGGAACTGACAGGGATGTGAGGGCAGTGAGCTTGGAGATGTCGGCATGGAGGGTGCCCTTGAGGGCCATGGAGGACACGTTCCTGCACGCAGGCAAGAGTGTCACGGCACCAACCAGAGAGAGACATCGGGTTATTTTGGCTTGTGGTTCGGTACAAACCGACCATTTTTTGTCAAAGCAACGCTAGGTTTGAGGTTTGGCTATACAGTGTTGAACCTTTCAAGTTTTGGCTGAACTGCACAAGGTTCGAATCGAACCCGAGCAGGTTCAGTTCAGCTAAAAAACTCAATATAATCATATTGGGATTGACATCATGGTGTTCTCCTCTCTTCTTTTAGAGAAACCTAATGTGCGGGGTCGGAGGGTATGGGAGATGTAGAGACAAGCATAACACATGCGTTTACAAAATTGTAAAAAACAAAATTAATCAATGCTTCATGAAATCCAAAATCCGCTCCTACAGCTAGCTCGTAAACAAGAATCATCAAGAACATAGTCACGTGGTCCAACGACCCTACTACTAGTAGCCAGCGCTGATATCAACAGGACGATTAAAGGTATACATAACATCGCACACTCGTGGCTTTGCAGCACTCACACACTCGTGACGGCCCCAGAAGTGGAGCAGCGCACGCCATTCCAGGTTCCGGGGAGGCTCATGGCAGTATAGTCGTCGGTGCAGGAAGAGGCAGCGACCCACGTGGTGTCGGTGACTCCCAGCGATGACTTGATGCTCAGTAGAGCCGATGCTGTGATGCGGCGAGATGGAGAACGGGGGAGGTGGTGAGGAGGAGGAGGAGGAGGAGGAGGAGGAGGAGGAGGAGGAGGAGGAGGAGGAGGAGGAGGAGGAAGGATTGGGAAAGGCATTGCAGAGGAAAGGGGGGTGTGCGTGAAGGCAGGGGAGGATGATTCAGTGCGCTTGAGAAGAGAAGAGAGAAGAAAGAAAACGGAGAAGGAAGAAGGGAGGGATGTGCATAAGAGGCTCAAGCTGTCGAGTACATGAAGAGAGGGAGGGGTGAGGGGTGCGGTAGAATGGTATGGCATGGCCATGTGTTTCTCAAAGAGAAGACTCACCTGCGGCAGTATCCATCACGACCACAGGCGAATCTGTACGGCCACACACAGGGGTACAGCCACACACAGGGGTACAGCCACACACAGGGGTACAGCCACACACAGGGGTACAGCCACACACAGGGGTACAGCCACACACAGGGGTACAGCCACACACAGGGGTACAGCCACACACAGGGGTACGGCCACACACAGGGGTACGGCCACACACAGGGGTACGGCCACACACAGGGGTACAGCCACACACAGGGGTACAGCCACACACAGGGGTACAGCCACACACAGGGATATAGCCACACACAGGGGTACAGCCACACACAGGGGTACAGCCTCACACAGGGGTACAGCCACACACAGGGGTACAGCCACACACAGGGATATAGCCACTCGTAGATTCATGGTGAGGGGCAAACACAGACGCAGACAAGGAAGGACAGACATGCACAGGGAAGAGAGAAGATTTGAACGTGGAAATAGGGATGGGCAGCCAGCCAGCGTCTTGTGAGAAATGCAGCAGGCGTCCAGTACAAGGCTCCAGCGGCATCACATTGCATCATATGGTCCTTGGCTCCATGCTACTCTGCCATCGTTGAAGCCACGCCCTGTCAGCCAGTGCCAGCCATAGCGTGTTTGCAATAGACCGAAGCACCCAGGCCTCTCCACTCAGCTACAAGCTTTCTACTTCGACTGTAGAATTGCTGAAACAAATACTGCACTGTCAAGCAGTATACGCTATTGGGTTGAGAATCATCACAGCTTCTACCAGGAAACGTGAACTGTTGGAAGGAAACATGCGAGACAGGAGCAGGCGGGAGGCAGGTAGAACAATGGGGAAATAAGCTTGCTGTCCAATTCATCCCTGACAAGGGCATGCGACGCCGCACTCACCGAGACACTTCATGGGAACCAACGGCAGAGATGGGGAATTCACAGTCCCCGCACTGACTGCATCAGCGCTGTCAGGCCCGCACAGCGCACCATAGCACAGCTCCCCCTGGCCGTCGGCAGATCCGCAGATGGCACAGTCGGAAACGGGGCGCTGCAGCAGGCCGTAGGAGCGGCAGTAGGAGGAGGAGAGCAAGCAGTTGTTGTCGGCTGAACAGCTCTTGAGGGAGAGGTTGGGGAAGGAGCCCGAGAGGAAGTTAAAGCCCACGTCCAGAGCGACCAGGGAGGTGGAGGGGATGGGCATGGTGCCCGTGAGGTAGTTGGAGTAGAGGCCCCTGGGTTGGTGAACGATCACAGGCATGAGGTGTGGAGGGAAGGGCGAATGAACACTGGCACGATGTTGAGATGCGTGGTGCTAGAATGAGGGAAAGGCGAGATGTGAGAAAGACAAGAGCGAGAAAGGAGAAAGGGTTAAGAGTGAGCAAGGTGCAACGGGCCAGCAATGGGGCTCCTTCTTGCATCTGCGGAATTTTGAAGCTGTGCGTGCTGCTTACAGCGTGGTGAGATTTGGCAGGGAGGCAATGAAGGAGGGAATGGATCCCGCAAACCAGTTGTAGTGGAGGAAGCTGTGGGTGGGAAGGAGACGAAATCGAGGGAAGCATGAGGGGACATCAAAGGAAATATGCTCTTAGACCTGAAGGGTTAGAATACAAATAAGGGTGGATGTTTGTCCTATCAAGGACTCGAACCAGGAAGCATGTCATGTCCTCGCATACGAGCAGCTGGTATTCAAGGCGCCATCAGACAGCAGGTTTGGTACTCACAGCGCCTTGAGGCTGGGCACGGCCTTAAGTGGCGCGGAGAACAAGTCAAGGCGGCCTTGAAAGAGGTTGTAGCCAAAGTCACTGGGGCGGGGGGCGAGGTTAATGTTAGGATTTGCACCAATTTGAGAGGTTTGATTTGTGTGTGCTGCATTTTAGAATCCAGAGAAATACTGTGTCATATTGTCCAGCTAGCTACTTGGCAAGGGAGCAGATAGGTTACCATCAATCCTATGCACGACACTACCTTGGCAATATAAGCCGGCTCTGGGTTAACTGCAGCACTTCCCATTCGAGCCTTACAGGTAAGTGAGTGCGGTGAGCTTGGAGATGGTCGCTGGAATATACCCCTTGAGACCCTGACGTGCCAAAGAGCTGAGGGGGGTGATGAGAGAGGCAGAGAGGTGGGAGGGCACGGTGGTTAGTATCGGGGGTTGGGAGGTACTGTGATTGAGTCCAAGTTTTAAACATAAGCGTTGTAACAGCCATTGAAGGCGTTGTAACAGCCATGGAAGGCGTTGTAACAGCCATGGAAGGCGTTGTAACAGCCATGGAAGGCGTTGTAACAGCAGAAATATTGCATCTGAAAGCATTTGAAGAATGGCGGTTGACGGTGAGCTATAGCATGCATGGTTGATGCATGTGTGCTCACATGGAGAGGACCGCCCCGGCATCATTACAGAGCACGCCAGACCACGTGGGCAGTGAAGTCTGCTTGCCAACCACCTGGCACGGCACACTTGCTTCCCACGAGCTGAACGTCACACCCAGCGATGACTTGAGCGCCAGCAGTGCTGGTGAAGGGGGAGCGGAGAGAGATAGTGGGAGAGGTGAGAGATACAAGGGGTTGCGAAGAAACATGGGATTTGGGAGATTTCGGAGGAGAGGGGAGACCAATAAGTAAGTAGAGGCACAGATAGAGAGGCATTGGGATAAGGGATGAGGAAAATCCAAACTCAAACATGTTTGACTCGAACCGCACCGACCCGCAACCAACCCCCTAGTCGAACCGAACCAAACTGAAATGGGTGGGAATGAGGTTCGCAATTGGATTGGAGCATCGAATTCGAACTTCTTACAGTTCAAATTGAACCCACAATAGCTCGGCTCGAACCCACCACAATACCTGTTCGAGTTCGGATCAACTAGCATTTTTGCTATAACTCCTTTTGTACGGGTATTCTTTTCACGCTCTTCTGGACATTAGTGGGGGTTTGAAGGGGTTTTAGGGAAACATAAAACAAAGCTACAGAACTTTCAACCACCCTGGTTCTCGACAAACCACCAGTACCGTGCATCCCGAGTCGTGCCATTATATGTTTCACGCGAACATCTTTTGGCATTGAAAGTGTTCGGTTCAACATGGCTCGACCCAAGAAGTTGTTCCGAACCGGTTTGTTCGATTCACGAAAAGAAAAGTAAAAGTTGTGTTCGAAATGAACCAAACCGCGGTTTGGAACTTAGCCCATGTCTAGTTGGAATGCAGATTGACTAAAATGCCAACAACTACGTACGATTGATGGATGCTGCATGGATGACAAGACAAGGAGCAGCACCCACACACCTGCGGCGCTGGTAGATGACACAGGAGTTACAGGGCCGCCTGCAGAGCAGATTACAGGGAGGTTTGGGGCATGCAGAGGGTAGGCAGGTAATCACGATTATTACCGGCGCCAGCTGCAGCAGCAGCGGCTGCGGGAGAAGCAGATGGATGCACGAGTGCGGAAGGCAGTTTGACAGACACAACACTCACAATGCAGCACACAGATTCATTCACATTCTTAGACACACCCCTGCCTGCTGCACCCACGTTGAGGGGGTAAAGGAGAGTTACCCGAGCAGTACACGGGCAGAGTAATTTCATTGAACAGGCCCGCTGCAATGTTAGAAGCAGCATCGGGCACACACTCCCCACCGGCGCCCCAGCACAGGGGAGCTATGCCATTGGTAGTGCCGCAGAAGGCGCACTGAGCAGCAGTTTTCTGGATGGTTCCGGCAAAGCTGCATTTGGAGGGAGTAGAGAGGCAGTTGCTCCTTCCGTTGCAGACGGTACCAGTAGTGGCCATGTCTGTAATGAAGTTGCCCTGGAATCTTAAAATATATATGGCTGCGGACAGGGGTGGGATGGTGCCAGTGAGGTAGTTGTACCCAAGATCCCTGCAAGCAACGGACGCACAGTTAGGGGGTGGTCAAGAGAGCAGAGGAGAGCAGAGGTGGCGGGACAAGAGGGGTTGTGAATCATGATGATGGTGAGGGGCTGGGTATCGTGGGAGAAAACAAGCAGAGTCGAGCGACGTAGCGCGCCTTGAAGACAGGAGGAGAACCCGGCGGCCGCTTCACCCTGAAAATCCACATGCCACTGACGATGTTCGCCCCAGGTGGGGGAACCTTGTCGACGTAGGTGCATGTGGACTTCCAGGAAGCCATCTCTGCGTCCATGGCTGTCTGCCACTGAGAGGAGTAGGGACCCGCCATCGCCTCTGCGTAAGAGCGAGGAGTCCGGATGTCTGGTGGATCCGGGTCTCCCTCAGGGGCAACTAGCATGGACACGAGATGGGGCAAAGCAGCAGCAAAGCACTGGAACTCCTCCTGTCTGTCCTCAAGGACGTCCGTGCCAAGAGCACACTCACCCTCGACGGACGGAGGACAGACAGACTCAGACTCAGACTCAGCAACAAGGCTAGCGGCGTAGTCTAGACGACACCTGGCAGCAAAGTCAACCAACTCAGCGACCAGAGCAGACGCAGCAGAGGACTCAAAGGTAGGGTCAGTGACAATAGTAGCGAGGAGACGCGTGACAGTGGGACTGGCAGCACGACGGGAGTCAGACTCCGGGTCAGGAAGAGTAGGTAGAGAGGACGCAGGAGGAGACGGCAGAGGGATACGCTGAGGAGCAGTGGAGGGACGCAGAGTCATGTAGTGAGTGCTAGGGACAGGAGGAGGACGCTCACGTGGGACACGACGACCAGTGCGAGCAGCACGAACAGGCGACGCAGAGCGAGACGCAGGCGACACAGGACGAGACTCAGGCTCACGACGCTCCGTAAGACCTCCTGTCGGACCAGTGTAAGGAGAAGGACGAGGGAGAGGCGAGGCAGGCCGTAACTGTGACTGCGACTGGACAGGCGGAGGACACTCTAAGGAGGGAGGAGGACAAGGAGGAGGAGTCTGACCAAGAACCTGCTGAAGGAGCGGCACGAAGTACGGTCGCGGCCGCGCAGCGTCGCCAGAACCAGCAGAGACACCAGCGTCAGGGTCCTCAGCACCAGCAGCAGCTCCAACTCCCGGGTCTAGAGCACCAGCAGCAGCTCCAACGTCCGGGTCCGCAGCACCAGCCACAGCTCCAACTCCAGGGTCCGCAGCACCAGCAGCAGCTCCAACGCCCGGGTCCTCAGCACCAGCAGCACCTCGAACTCCAGGGTCCGCAGCACCAGCAGCACCTCCAGCAGCTCCAGGGTCCGCAGCACCAGCAGCACCTCCAGCAGCTCCAGGGTCCGCAGCACCAGCAGCACCCCCAACTCCAGGGTCCGGAGCACCAGCAGAACCTCCAACTCCAGGGTCCGCAGCACCAGCAGCACCTCCAGCAGCACCAGCAGCACCACCAGTAGCGCTAGCAGCACCAGGAGCGCCACTCCGAAGACTGCAGCGCCGCGTGTACCACTCTCGGATCCGCTGAAGGGAGGGGAGCTCCCGGGTAGGAGGGGAAGTACTGGCTCCAGCGGCACCTCTCCTGAGGCTGCAGTACTGTAAGTACCTCTCCTGCAGCTGCTGTGAGGAGAGGGCTCCTCCAGGTGTAGGACTCCTAGGCTCAGCACCTCCAGACTCAGCACCCCAAGGCTCAGCACCCCCAGGCTCCGCACCCCCAGGCTCAGCACCCCCAGACTCCGCACCCCCAGGCTCAGCACCCCCAGGCTCCGTACCCCCAGGCTCAGCACCCCCAGGCTCAGCACCCTCAGGCTCCGCACGCTCAGGCTCAGCACCCCTAGCAGGACGAGACTCGACAGCTACCTCGACAGGCTCAACCGGGTCTACCTGGGACACACCTGAGGGAGCGGCACCCTGAGGGGGGAGGGGGTCTACCACAGCAGCACCTGGCGCGAGGAAGAGAGGCGGGGGGGGAAGCGGGGCAGTGCGGTAGGGGAAGAGGCGGTAGTAGGGGACGGACTCGTCGAAAGTGACGTCCTGAGAAGGCAGAACCCGGCGCGAGGTGACGTGGTAAAACTGCCAACCAGGCGCGTCCGGGACAAAGCCAAGGAAGACACAAGGAACAGCGCGGGAGGAGAGCTTGTCCGCAGACGTATCGCGAACAAAAGCTCGAGATCCCCAGACCCGAAAACGCGACGCATCGCCAACCTCTCCCGTCCACCGCAGTGTCGGGGAAGTCTCCGGTAAGGAGACACGGGGCCAGAGGTTGAGCTGATGCGCAGCGTATCGGACCGCAAACGGCCACAGAAAGTGGGGGGCAGCCGCATGGATCAAGGAGGTACGAGCAACCTCCATGACCAAGCCAATGCGGCGCTCAGCGACCCCATTCTGCTGTGGAGAGGCCGGAAGCGTGAACGACTGCTCAATGTCGTGCTCCGCACAGTAGGCTGCCAAGAGGTCGGAGGAGAACTCACCACCTCTGTCAGAGTGCAAGCGCAGGACAGGAAAGTCCGAGCGGAAACGCTTGCCTAGCTGGAGACGGGCTCGGCTGATCCAAGGGATCAAAACATCAGGGACCTCACCCTTGGTGCGCAAGGGGAAGACCGTGGTGTAGCGCGAGTAGTCGTCAACAACTATCAGGAAGTACCTCTCCTGACCCTGACCACGGACGCGGGCTGGGCCCCACACGTCCATGTGGAGCGTCTGCAAGGGAGCAGTCGTCGGGGGAAACGAGGAGGAGTGAGGAGCGGCGCGCTGCCGCCCCTCGACACAGGGAAGACAGGGAGGAGCAGGTGAGGGTGGGAGGGGAGGGAGAACCCTGGGAAGACCAGAGACAAGGTACCGTTTGTGCATGGCACGAAGGCGCTGCACGGACGGGTGACCAAGTCGGTGGTGCCAGAGGACGGTCTCGTGCGCCAGAGAGCGACACGAGCAGGGGGCCGACAGCTGACCTGACACAGACGCAGACGCAGACGCAGCAACCTGAGGGGACTCAGTGGTGACGGCCAGTACAGGTCCGACCCCGGCTGCCGAGTGAAGGTAGCCAGGTGACGGCCCGTCCGCGCACACGTGCAGTGTGTCACGCGCTCGTAGGCAGGGGTGAACTGGTGAACACCCGCATCCTGGAGCGCACAGCCCGCCACCAAGTTCGTAGAGAACGAGGGGAGGTGGAGACCTGACAGTGTGCCCGACGGGACCGCAGGACAGGGAAGAACAGTGGAGGAGGTCGCAATGACCGGACCCCCAGAGGGGTCAGCGAGGGAGACAGCAACTGGCCGAGCAAGTGGCTCAAGGGCAGTGCGGTCACGAAAGAAACAGCGAGAAGCACCGGAGTCCAGAGTGAAGGTGTGCAGTGCCTCAGTCAACTCACTACGAGGGGGCGCAACTCACTAGCACCTAGAGCAGCAGCCTCACCAGCACCTGGGGTAGCAGACACGTGAGTACCGGGAGTGGTAGCCTCACCAGCACCTAGGGCAACAGACGTACTAGCACCTAGAGCGGCAGCCTCACTCACAGGACACGGCAGCTGCACCTGTCCACTACCAGAAGCTCCCGAACGATGCACTCCAGAGCGACTACCACTACGGCCACCCCGACAGCCCCAACTAGCGTACCACTCACGAAGCTGCTGGGGCGAAAGAGGACACGGCAGCTGCACCTGTCCACTACCAGAAGCTCCCGACCGACCCACTCCAGAGCGACTACCACTACGGCCACCCTGACAGCCCCAACTAGCGTACCACTCACGAAGCTGCTGGGGTGAAAGAGGACACGGCAGCTGCACCTGTCCACTACCAGAAGCTCCCGACCGACCCACTCCAGAGCGACTACCACTACGGCCACCCCGACAGCCCCAACTAGCGTACCACTCACGAAGCTGCTGGGGCGAAAGAGGACACGGCAGCTGCACCTGTCCACTACCAGAAGCTCCCGACCGACCCACTCCAGAGCGACTACCACTACGGCCACCCCGACAGCCCCAACTAGCGTACCACTCACGAAGCTGCTGGGGCGTGAGGGACTCACGCGCACGGCCCTGGAGCTGCATCTGGCCACGCCAGGAGCAGCAGTAGTAGCAGTAGCGGCAGTAACAGCAGTAACAGCAGGAGCAGTGGCAGTGGGAGTAGAAAAGGCAGTAGCAGCAGTAGCAGCGGTAGCAGTGCTGGCAGGGCAATGCTCACCAGTGGTCGGCGCGGCAGGCGCAAGACGGTGGGGACAGCGGGACCGCTACAACTGCAGAGCGGGGCCGGGCCGCAGCAGGGAGCTCCGCGGCAGCTGCTGCAGGGCGAGGCCGGGCCGCGACGGCAGCTGCTCCAGGTGCCAGGGGCGGCTGCTGCAGTGGCGGCTGCTCCAGGGGCCAGGGGCGGCTGCTGCAGGTGCGGGCTGCTCCAGGGGCGGCTGCTGCAGGTGCGGGCTGCTCCAGGGGCGGCTGCTGCAGGTGCGTGCTGCTCCAGAGGGGGCTGCTGCAGTGGCGGGCGGCTCCAGGGGCGGCTGCTGCAGTGGTGGGCGGCTCCAGGGGCTGCTGCTGCAGTGGCGGGCGGCTCCAGGGGCTGCTGCTGCAGTGGCGGCTGCTCCAGGGGCGAGAGGCGGATTAGGTCAGGGCGACGCGGCGAGAAGGGCGACGCGGCGGGCAGGTGGCGACGCCGCGGGCAGGGCGACGCGGCGGGCAGGTGGCGACGCCGCGGGCAGGCGACGACGCCGCGGGCAGGCGACGACGCCGCGGGCAGGGGACGACGCCGCGGGCAGGCGACGACGCCGCGGGCAGGCGACGACGCCGCGGGCAGGCGACGACGCCGCGGGCAGGCGACGACGCCGCGGGCAGGCGACGACGCCGCGGGCAGGTGCTACGTCGCGGGCAGGCGACGACGCCGCGGGGAGGCGGTGACGCCACGGGCAGGGCGACGCGGCGGGCGGCGAGAGCCTGCAGGGGCGGCGCGCGGTCGGGCAGAGGCTGCGCGCGGGCCTGACGGGTCTGCAGGGGCGGCTCTCGGGCCTGACGGGCCTGCAGCGGCGGCTCGGGGGCCTGACGGACCTGCAGGGGCGGCTCGAGGGCGCACGAGGGCGCACGAGGGCGTACGAGGGCGCACGAAGGCGCACTAGCAGAGAAAGGCGCACGAGGGCGCACGAGGGCGCACGAAGGCGCACTAGCAGAGAAAGGCGCACGAGGGCGCACGAGGGCGCACGAGGGCGCACGAGGGCGCACGTAAGGTAGGGCGCACGAGGGCGCACGTAAGGTAGAGCGCACGAGGGCGCTTCTAGCGGAATAGTGGGCCCATTGTAGAAAGCGGTCCTAGGTAGCAACCTAGGCTCTGATACCATGTTGGAATCTAGAATAGAACGAGGATGAATGAACTAGCAGGAAGGTGGGTACAAGTAGGAAACCCTAAGTTTGTGTACCCTCTAAGGCTAAACCCACTATAGCCTACACAATATAAACATACAATGTTTGACAACAGTACGGCACCCGCCTGCAGTTTTCGTCGTCATACCACCCGCAAACCGACGGACAGACAGAACGGACAAATCAGACCATGGAACAACTGATTCGCACCAACTGCCCCGACATCCGCAAGTGGGAGGATTCGCTGCCGATGCTGGAATTCGCGTACAACAACGCCCCGTCAGCCACGACTAGACAATCGCCCTTCTTCTTGAATTACGGGATAGACCCCGTGGTACCCTCTTCAACGACAGTAGACAACCCGGTACCACGTTCGCAGCAGTTTGTCACGGAGCTGCAGACCGCGCGCACGAAAGCAGCTGATTTCATTCGTAAGGCTAATACCACGGCCAGTCGCCAGGCGGATAAACATCGACGGAATTTACCCTTCCGCCCCGGGCAGGTTGTGTTACTGGACACCAAGAATCTCCGGCTGCCGCAGCCCGCGAAATTACGGCCCCGATACGTGGGACCATTTCGGATCATCCAAAGGGTGACACCTGTCACCGCGAAGCTGTTGCTGCCTGACGACTGGAAAATTCATGACGCCTTCCACGTCAGCCTGCTGCGTCATTACGAACAGCCGCAGTCGCCAGCTGTCGCCCGGCCAACCATCGCGCCGACCACCCGCCCCGTGGCAGAACCCACGATGGAACCTTGGAAGATTCTCAACCATCGCGTGGACGTGACCGCCGCCGGCTGCTCGGTGAAATTCCTGCTTCGCTGGAAGGACCGCGCAAGCGAGGACGACACGTATGTCACCGCCGACTCGCTACTGGGACATCCGGTTGTGGATGCTTACCTGGCCCGCCGAGGTGTCTCGGATATTCACCACCTTTCTTAAGGGGGGGGGTAGTGTAAGGAATTTTTCGGATTCCTTACTGGGTCACTCCGTACGCGTACAACCCCGACTTTCGGAAAACCAGGCTCGGTCCGCCGACCTCGCCTTCCGAGCCACTACCGCGTCGCCTTCGGGTTTTCCAACCCCGAACCTGCACCCAACCATCTCGCGACCCCGCGACCTCGGCCTAGCTAGCCTTGCTATATTGTGCCTAGGCCTCGTTGTTCATTCAGACGTTGTAATCACTTCCGCATTATTGAGTTCTGCGCACTCTTTCCTTTCACAACTCATAACAAACTAACTGCGGTTGTAACTGCTGTTGCGGTTCGATACAGCGACGACTCGGGTAACTGCTCAATAACGAGTCAGTTATTTGTCCTTACTGTCTCACTGTTTTGCTGAGTCAAAGGTCGCTGACCTTTGACCTTCGCTTTAACTTCTACCGGTAACTGTTGTCCCTTTTGTAAACCGCTTCGCTGTATTTCGGTTGACTCGGTGTTGCTTCGCTTGTGAGTCTGCCTCGTTCTTGTTACAGTGCTCGACACATCAGTAGCGTGAGGTTATATGTTTCCAACACCTCCCTGTTCATACTCACACACATTCCTGTTGTTAAGTTTCTAAGAGGGCATGGGAGACGATATTGTAGCTACTCCAGTGTCAAACCACAACTTTGAATGTGCGTAAATGTGACTTGCCAGAACTGCTTACAACACCTTCCACAACTGGGCACCATCAAGCAAACACAAACATCACTGCATGAGACGAGAGGAAAGCAAACGAATCGCGGCCTACTTCTTCTTTGACCGCCGTGGGGGTTTAGGCAGCCCCAACTGCCCCCACTCTGCCAGCACCACATCCCGCTCCTGCTTCAACTCCGCTGCTGCCACAGCATCCCCCTGCGCCTCACACGTCTTGATCAGAATCATGTATGCCAAATCATACGGCCCCGCCCCCGCCTCCCTCATCCTCCCCAGCACCTCCCGGCCGCTCCTGTAGTCGCCGGAGCGGCAGTGAGCAGCGAGCAGCGCAGTGTACGTGGGCGAGCAGGGGGGCACGCCGTCCTCCTGCAGTGTGGCCTGGAAGAGCGCCTGTGCGTCCGTGATGCGGCCGGCCAGCCCCAGGCAGTTGATCATGCGCGCACACAGGTCCGGGTCGGGCTTGTACCAGTGCTCCGTGCGCACATGCTCAAACACCTGCACGTGGCATGGCGGGTGGGAGAGAGAAATGCGGACGCAGGGAGATGTTTACCCTGAATGGAGGGAGTCGTATGAAGGCTTTGGCAGAGGGACGGGAGGGAGGGTTGGAGGAGCGGAAGAGGGGTTTATGGGTTTAACAGCTGTAGAAAATGCCAGCGAAGAACGAAACAAGGGAGCAACTTTTGAATCGACTCAAAAGTCAGAACGAAGAAAGAAGAACGAGAACTCACTACGTAAAAGATTGCACTGGAGAAAGGGACATATGGAGGGAAGGCAGGGAGGTTGGTATCGTAGACAAGTGTGAATGGGGAAGATGGATGGCATAAGGAGGAATGATAGGGGTGTAGAAGGGAAGCATTGAACATGGGTATAATGATTGATGCAACTTAAAAGGGTGACTTGGGAACAGACATTCGGACGCAGGGAGGGGTGGAAAAGTGGGGGGAGGTGGAAGACAGAAAAGAAGGCACTGGGGGTGGAACATAGTGAGGGGAATGGACATTGGATTAAACATGAGGGCGCTCCAACCGTGCTGCAATCGTGTGCTAACACTTGCAGGTAATCAAGTTGACACCAAGTTAACACTTGCGTGGTAGGAAGTAAACCCTCAAAGGGATCCTCCTCCCCACATACACAAAAACCCTCCCCACACTCACCAAAACCCTCCCCAAACACACCAAAACCCTCCCAACACACACCAAAACCCTCCCCACACACACCAAAACCCTTCACACACACACCAAAATCCTCCCCACACACACCAAAACCCTCCCCACACACACCAAAACCCTCCCCACACACACCAAAACCCTCCCCACACACACCAAAACCCTCCCCACATACACCAAAACCCTCCCAAACCCTTCTCGATTTCCAACACCAGTGATCATGACAGGGAGAAGACGCATAGTCCTTTTGTGGCAATCTCTATTACCAACTGCTCGTTGTTCTCTGTTGGATGCTCCCCGTCGCCCTCTTCTCTCTCCTTCCTCGCTCTACCACACTCCGCCACACTCCCGACGCTTCCAGGTACCACCGATCCGTTCCCACTGTTCAGAAATATCTTTCACCCCCTCACCGTCACCTCCCTCACCGCCACCTCTCTCACTCTCTCCCTGTCTCACCCGCGCGGCGAGGCGCCATTGCTGCTGGCGCTGCAGCTCGTGCAGGGCGAGCAGCATATCCGGCTTCACCAGCCGCGCCACCTTGCTGCGCATCACCGCCTCCACGCGCCGCCCGCACTCCCACCGCTTCCCCGCGCCCGCGCTCCCTGCCTCGGCTGCGGTACCAGCGCTGGTCACACCGACCATCTGTGTGGCCCCATATGCAGCTGCTGCTCGCATCAGGTCGTGGCTGCCGGCATCCCGAATCAAGAGCATCAAGTCCTGAGAACGATCGCTCATACACGCCATGTCGCCGTCATGACCTCGTTGAAACATCTCCTCCTCCTCACTCTCTTCCAGATCCCCCACTTCCTCCTCCTCCTCCTCCTCCTCCCCTGTACCGGCGCTGCTCGTCGCGAGCGTCCAGCATGGCGGCCAGTTTCAGCTCTTGAACCGCGTCCACCGCCTCTCCCGCCATGTTGCGGCTCCGCCACAAGCTCTCGCGCTTTGATGCGAACAGCGTGTGTGTGGATCGCCGAAATCCCTCATGGCGAAAGATCGGCGGCGAGTGCAGGGTTGAAGTAGATGGCAAAGGCGACAGTCTATTGATGTTTGCCGGTGGCGGAGTTACACAAAACATCAGAAAAATGTTGGGAAGATTTCCGGCGGTATTTGGGAGGATTTGCAGGAGGTGTGAGGTGAAAGCGGTGGGTTTCCATGCGCTCCGTAAATGGATCGGCATATTGCCAGGGGCGGCAGTGGCTGTAGCGGCAGTGGCAAGGGCGGCAGTAGCTGTAGCGGCAGTAGCAGGTGCGGCCGCGGCTGTAGCAGGCAGTAACAGGGGCGGCAGTGGACGTGAGCGTTGCAGTGGCGGGCCGTGTAGCAGCAGCTGCAGCAGTGACGGCTATAGCAGCGCCTGTAGTCGTAGCTGCATCAGTGGAGGCCGTAACGGCGGCTGTAGCTGCAGTTGTAGCAGCGGCAGCAGCAGCTGGAGCAGCGTCGGCGGCGCCAGCTGCTGCTTTTCGCGCTACTGCAGCGCGAGCTGCTGCTGCGTTCGCGATCGGGTGGCGCTAGCTGCTGCTGCTCGCGCTATCGCGGCACCCTAGTGCTGCTGCTAGCGGGACGGGTAAGTTCCGCGGGTGAGGCGAGGGGAGTTTTCCTACGCGGCTGGTTCCAAGGCACGACAAGCTGCTCGCGCTCAAAAGCAGCAGCGCATTGCTGCTGCTGCTCGCTCGACTGGGGCCGCCCGGGGGGTGGGGTCGGCGGCGCACTAGGCGACGAAGCGGGGCGCGCGGGACAGCAGCGAAGCGAGGCGCGAGGGAGTACGGGGCAGCGCGAACGCTGAAAAAAAAAAAACACAAAAAAAAGGTCGCGTGGCGCGCTTGGGAACGAAACCGCGGAGCGCGCTAGGAAACGGAGTAGCGTGGCGAGCTTGGAACGAGGGGAAGCGATCTAACCTCTCGATAGATAGCACGAGAAGTATAAGTGCACTAATTAGTTGCAGCACGGTTCAATGTGGTGTTGGGGGGTTTCGAGTTTGTGATTTGTGACGGCTTTGTGTGCTGGTTGGGTTTTCTAGTTGCAATGCGGTTTAATCTGGTGTTGGGGGCTGGTTTGGTGTTTTGAGAGGGGATGTCAAAGTTGCTTCTACAAGATGAGATTTTGATTCTGCGAGTCCCTATTTCGTCGCTAAATAGTGATGTGAGATTCTAACACACGTTTCAAAATAGTGCCCCGATTCCGGTCTGCCCGAGAATTTCGACCGAGCGTCAAGCGGCAAAGCGTATGTCAAGCGTCAGCGTCGAAGCGTTTTGACGCTTGACGCAAGCCAGTCAGAGCGCCAACTCCAACGTACCTGCCAATGATGGCGCCCGGCGCGCACAAGCCCGGCCATCACCGGCAGCTCACCGCGCAGCAGCAGCTGCCGGGCGGGCAGCAGTCGCACGGCTGCGACGTCGTGTCGCGACTCCTCGCGCCGTTCGCCGTGCTGCTCCTGCTCGCCGCGCTCCTCGCCTACCTCGCCCTCTCCCACGCGCAGCCCCCCCCGCCCGCGCTGCTCCTCGCCTCCACCAGCCGGCCGCCGCCCGCCGTGTCGCGGCGGGACGAGGAGGCGGGCGGCACGATGCGGTTCGACGGGGCGGCGAGGATGGTGCGGCTGGCCGTGGGTGTGAGGGAGGGGAGAGATGCGGGTGGGGGAGAGGGGAAGGGGGCGGATGCGGGGCAGGACGCGCGCGGGTGGATGATTGACCCGCTTGCTGCAGCGGTGGCCGCTGGGCTGAAAGGTGAAGGGCGGGGTGGGAGGTGAAGGGCGGGTGGAAGGTGAAGGGAGGGGCGGAAGGTGAAGGGCGGGTGGAAGGTGAAGGGAGGGGCGGAAGGTGAAGGGCGGGTGGAAGGTGAAGGGAGGGGCGGAAGGTGAAGGGCGGGTGGAAGGTGAAGGGAGGGGCGGAAGGTGAAGGGCGGGTGGAAGGTGAAGGGAGGGGCGGAAGGTGAAGGGCGGGTGGAAGGTGAAGGGAGGGGCGGAAGGTGAAGGTGTTGGACAGGAGGGTGGGAGAAAGTGTAGCAGATGCTCTGCGAATGCTGAGCACCACATTCGGTGAACCCTAGTTGGTACTTTCAAGCCTCTTTGCCCTCTGTGCCCTCTGTGCCCTCTGTGCCCTCTGTGCCCTCTGTGCCCTCTGTGCCCTCTGTGCCCTCTGTGCCCTCTGTGCCCTCTGTGCCCTCTGTGCCCTCTGTGCCCTCTGTGCCCTCTGTGCCCTCTGTGCCCTCTGTGCCCTCTGTGCCCTCTGTGCCCTCTGTGCCCTCTGTGCCCTCTGTGCCCTCTGTGCCCTCTGTGCCCTCTGTGCCCTCTGTGCCCTCTGTGCCGCCCCTCCCCTCTCTTCCCAGGGGGTGCCACGTCATGCCTCATGACGCATGTGGGGGAGGTGCTACCTGATAAGATTCGTGGAAACCACCGGCACCACGACTACAACGAGACGTTGGTGCTGTGGGGGGCGAGAATGAAAGTGCGGGTAAGTCACAGTCACGACTGTTATTGTTTATGGAGAGGGGGAGTGAAAGTGCGGGTGAGTGGGGAGGGAGAATGAGAGTGCGGGCGAGTGGAGAGGGGGGGTGAGAGTGCGGGTGAGTGGAGAGGGGGAATGATAGTGCGGGTGAGTGGGGGAGTGAGAATGTGGGTCAGGGCAGAATGAAAGTGCGGGTGAGTGGGGGAAGCGCGGGTGAGTGGGGGAAGCGCAGGTGAGTGGGGGAAGCGCGGGTGAGTGGGGGAAACACGGGTGAGTGGGGGAGGCGCGGGTGAGTGAAGGAATGGGAGATGAGGTGAGCAGGAGAGTGGAGAAATGAGCGGTGAGTGTAACTCAAAGTGGTACATAGGGGTGGCCGAAAAGGTTGATTACTGATGGTCAGGGCAGGTGTGGTGTGGTGGTTGAGTGGTGGGGTGGTGAGGGCCGAGGGGAGAAAAAAGTGTGGCATGGAGTATTCAACAGCAACGACGACTGTCGTCATCACCCCATCACCCATTTTCCCATGACAATGCTTCTTCTCTCTTCTCACGCCCCCTCTTTCCCCATCCCATTTCTTTCCCCAAACGGCCCCTCTGTGACTCTTCCCAGAATGAGAACCGTGACGTGGCAAAGGGCTTCGCTGAGGTCATTCTGACAGCGGATGACGTGGCGGTGATGGCATGCCCCGCCATGAGCGCCCATGCAGTGATCAACATCGACACTTCTCGCTCCGCCTACCTCATGGCGTGCCAGGACGGCCTGCATGACCCCAAGGACCCTCGCTCTGACTATGGCGTGTGGTCCGACCTCGTGTGATGCTTCAGCCTTCACGTGCATGGTCGCTTGAGTCACACTACACTCTCATCAACGTCGACGACACCTCTCACTCAGCATACCATACCTCATGGCGTGTCACGATGGGAGCATGATCCCAAGGACTCTCGCACAGAATATGCTGTCTGGGCGGACCTTGTGCGATGCTTCAGCCTTCACTTCACGTGCATGTCATTCAAGTCACATCACACTCTCGTCAGCGTCGACACCTCTCGCTCCGCCTGCCTCACGGCGTGTCAGGATGGCCTGCAAGGTCCCTCTCACGACTCTGCTGTCTGGCCCCACCTCGTGTGATGGGCCGAGCGTGCTGGTTAAACTGCATTACACTGTAACATATATATTCTAGTTGTAAAAGGTTTTGTTTTTTATACACATACAATACATACCGGTATGAAGAAAGAAAACAGGGTGGGTGATACTGCGAAGCACCTGTGAGAATCATTTGGTGCAACACTCGGAGTTCACCAGCTAGGGAGTGGAGCAGCGATGCCGTAGCAGAGCCACAGCCTGAGCATTGTATCATCCCGTCCCGTTTCACTCAACTCAACCCTGTCAGCATGTGCCAGCCCCCACTGCAACCAGGTGCAGCCTTATTCCACAAGCCCTTGCTGATGGCGGTGCGATCCCGTGGAGTGGAGTGGAGTGGAGTGGAGTGGAGTGGAGTGGAGCGGAGCGGAGGTGAAATAAAGCAGAAAGGGTCAACCGTGGTGCAGGCGCACGGAGGCCTTGAGCTTGTTGAGAAAGAAGTTCTCTAGCCTGGGCGCAGGGCGGGATGAGGAGGGAGCGCAGGGCGGGATGAGGAGGGAGCGCAGGGCGGGATGAGGAGGGAGCGGGGGGTTGGGAAGAGAGGGCAACGGGAGGAGGAAGTGGTCATGAGCACAAGCCGGGGCAAGGGAGCACAAGGGCAAGTTACTTGGGGATGGTTCCACACCATCTATTGGAGCACCTGAGGCAGCACCTGAAACCCATGTTTTTCACATTCACCTGTTGGCGCATGCACGTCACCTGTTGGCGCATTTGAAGTAGATGGTGTCGGGCGCGTTGTAGGTGCGCGCATTGGCGGTCATGCGGCGCATGTCAGCCACAAACATGTCGATCGTCAGATAGAAGCTCTCCGCCTCCAGCCGCTTCTGCATCGTCTTCAGATCTGCCGTGCCATGCACGCACAGGGGGGGAGGGGGCAGGGGTACAGGGGGGCAGGGGAGTAGGGGGGCAGCGGAGTAGGTGAGAGGTGGAGAAGAGGGAAGGAAGGGAAGGGGAGAAGTGGAGAAGCAGGATCGCAGGGAGGAAGAGGTGAGATAAGAGCGATATTGGATAGGCGCACACAAGATAAGCGCAGAACGGGGATGACCATGCACTGAGAATGTGTGCACTCGTCACAACCGCAATCAACCTTCTGCACAGCAGGGAACAGAAATCCTAGAAGTGAGGTGCTTGACACTGTGAGTGAGAGGATTCTGACAAAACATGCAAGGCACACCTCACACGAGCGCGGACAGCAGCACTGGCAGACCTCGCACATGCGGGGCTTTGATGACTACTTCCTTGGCCTGCACACAAGCACGTGCAGCACTAGCGCTCACCGATGGGGTCCTTGATGATGTCATACCGATGGGGTCCTTGATGATGTCATACCGATGGGGTCCTTGATGATGTCATACCGATGGGGTCCTTGATGATGTCATACCGATGGGGTCCTTGATGATGTCATACCGATGGGGTCCTTGATGATGTCATACCGATGGGGTCCTTGATGATGTCATACCGATGGGGTCCTTGATGATGTCATAGTAGTCGGGCACCTCATTGCCATCCACGGGGTCCTTGAACGGCCACGAGTCCGCATGCTCCATCACCGCCTGCCCTCCATGCGAGGTATGGTGGCATGGTGCCATGGTGCAGAAAAAAGGGCATGGTGACAAACTTTGAAGCTTCTAGAATGGAGTGACAATTGGACAGCAGGCGCCAGGGGTGAGGAGCAAAGGGCACGGGAGGGGCACGGGCAAAAGCTTATCTTCCATCCATGCAGCCAAATAGTGTCGTCCACCACCCCGCCCTACCCGGTGCATCTGCCCGCCCTACCCGGTGCATCTGCCCGCCCTACCCGGTGCATCTGCCCGCCCTACCCGGTGCATCTGCCTGCCCTACCCGGTGCATCTGCCCGCCCTACCCGGTGCATCTGCCCGCCCTACCCGGTGCATCTGCCTGCCCTACCCGGTGCATCTGCCCGCCCTACCCGGTGCATCTGCCCGCCCTACCCGGTGCATCTGCCCACCCTACCCGGTGCATCTGCCCGCCCTACCCGGTGCATCTGCCCGCCCTACCCGGTGCATCTGCCCGCCCTACCCGGTGCATCTGCCCGCCCTACCCGGTGCATCTGCCCGCCCTACCCGGTGCATCTGCTTCATCAGGTTGTGCAGCTGGGCCTTGGTGGGCGGCCCGTCGCGGCTCACATCCTTTGTCCCATCTGGCGCCACCTGCACCAATCGGATCTTATTGGCGCCACTCTTCTCCGGCGTCCACCCGCTCTCCGCCAGCCCGGGGATGTCAGCCAGCCTGAGGGCGCGCCTGGGCACGCCCCAGGAGTCACGGGGGAAGTCCAGCCCGGGGTGCACCACGTGGGAGCGCGCCACTTGCCTCATGCGCTCCGTTATGGCCTGGGGGGGGGGGGAAGAGGGGGGGGGAGGGGAAGGAGAGAGGCCCACGTGAAGTCATGGCATCTGATTGGGTGCGTGAGTATGCCGTGGCATGGCATGGCATGGCATGGCATGGCATGGCGTGGCGTGGCATGGCATGGCATGGCATGGCGTGGCGTGGCATGGCATGGCATGGCATGGCGTGGCATGGCGTGGCATGGCGTGGCATGGTGTAGGGCAGATCCTTCTCCAACACACACTTCATCAATCTGTAGAGCACTTAGATGCCATGCCTGGTGTGGCATGCCATGGCGTCGTGTGCCTGGTGTGGCACGGCTGTAGCTGAGCTCACCTGCCTCTGTTTGAGCAGCACTGCGGGCAGAGTGGTGTAGGGCAGCCCCTTCTCCAACACACACTCCATCAGCGTGCCCCCGTCATAGTCCTTTATGTACCTGCCGCGGATAGGGCGAGCAGGTGAGGGGTGAGCGGTGAGGGGCGACGAGGGAAGAGGGAGAAAAGGGGAAGGGGGAGGAAAGAGGAGGGAGGTAGAGGGTAGGGGGAAGCCTCATATGCTTGTGGACAATGGGAAACCAGATAAGTGGATGACTGGAAACAGAAGAATAATTTCAAGGATTGGTGGGTTGGTTTGGAGGGCGAAATCAGTGTGACCCAGCAATGAAACGTACCCCTCCCATTGCGCTTTAGGCATGGTGATCTCCTTGGTAAATCCCTGCATGTACACATGCACATGCACACATGCACACATGCACATGCACATGCACATGCACACATGCACACATGCACACATACACACATGCACACATGCACACATGCACATGCACACATGCACACATGCACACACGCACACATGCACATCCACACATGCACATGCACACATGCACACATGCACACATGCACATGCACACATGCACATAGGCACATGCACATAGGCTCATGCACATAGGCACATGCACATAGGCACATGCACATAGGCTCATGCACATAGGCACATGCACATAGGCACATGCACATCGGCACATGCACATAGGCACATGCACATAGGAACATGCACACAGGCACATGCACATAGGCACATGCACACAGGCACATGCACATAGGCACATGCACACAGGCACATGCACATAGGCACTCACTCACACACATGCTCAAATGCACACAAACACAGACATCCACACACACGAAATCAAAGGAATTGAAAGGCCGGGAAAGAGAGTAATGGAGACAGAAAAATTGGCAAGGGAGGGAGAAGGTGGAAGGAAAAGCAGAGAAACAAGAGTGGTATGGCCTTGTTGTCGACAACAACCATCAGGCATGCAGGCATGCAGGCATGTAGGCATGCAACATGGGCAGGAAGTAGCCAACAGGGGCAGCATGGGGCAGCATGGGGCAGCATGTAGGCTTGCAACATGGGCAGGGCAGCACCTGCTTGACGAAGTAGCCAACAGCGTTGTTGTCAGCGTAGGTGAGGAAGTAGCGAAGCCCATCCTCATCCCTCGCATACGCCTTGAGGTGATTCATCAGCCTCGTGCCGTACCCCCTCACCTGCTCCCCGTGCAGCACAGCAAAGAACAGCACCGCACCGCACCGCACAGCAAAGCACGGCACAGCACAGCACACAGCACACAGCACACAGCACACAGCACACAGCACAGTACAATGAGCATTCCTGGAAGCGTCTGGGATCGTCCAGCTACAGCTGAGTGCCTCTTCTCCCCACTTGAAGCCCACAGCATGCATGCAGGCACCATTCCACACAGACGTACAGCTAACCACACTCACACTCACACGGGCACAGCATGGTGCAATGCGCTCCAAAAGCGCTCAAGAGCGCTTGGTTGTGCATCTTGCATGCTCTCCCCCTCATGCCTCTCAAATGCCCCATGGCGCTCACCTGCTCCGTGGCAGTAATGGCACAAAACGCTATCTCCCCAAACCGCTGCCTGCACACAGACAGAGTGATGTCATGCCATGTGATGCCATGTGATGCCATGTGATGCCATGTGATGCCATGTGATGCCATGTGATGCCATGTGATGCCATGTGATGCCATGTGATGCCATGTGATGCCATGTGATGCCATGTGATGCCATGTGATGCCATGTGATGCCATGTGATGCCATGTGATGCCATGTGATGCCATGTGATGCCATGTGATGCCATGTGATGCCATGTGATGCCATGTGATGCCATGTGATGCCATGTGATGCCATGTGATGCCATGTGATGCCATGTGATGCCATGTGATGCCATGTGATGCCATGTGATGCCATGTGATGCCATGTGATGCCATGTGATGCCATGTGATGCCATGTGATGCCATGTGATGCCATGTGATGCCATGTGATGCCATGTGATGCCATGTGATGCCATGTGATGCCATGTGATGCCATGTGATGCCATGTGATGCCATGTGATGCCATGTGATGCCATGTGATGCCATGTGATGCCATGTGATGCCATGTGATGCCATGTGATGCCATGTGATGCCATGTGATGCCATGTGATGCCATGTGATGCCATGTGATGCCATGTGATGCCATGTGATGCCATGTGATGCCATGTGATGCCATGTGATGCCATGTGATGCCATGTGATGCCATGTGATGCCATGTGATGCCATGTGATGCCATGTGATGCCATGTGATGCGATGTGGTGCCATGTGATGCCATGTGATGCCATGTGATGCCATGTGATGCCATGTGATGCCATGTGATGCCATGTGATGCCATGTGATGCCATGTGATGCCATGTGATGCCATGTGATGCCATGTGATGCCATGTGATGCCATGTGATGCCATGTGATGCCATGTGATGCCATGTGATGCCATGTGATGCCATGTGATGCCATGTGATGCCATGTGATGCCATGTGATGCCATGTGATGCCATGTGATGCCATGTGATGCCATGTGATGCCATGTGATGCCATGTGATGCCATGTGATGCCATGTGATGCCATGTGATGCCATGTGATGCCATGTGATGCCATGTGATGCCATGTGATGCCATGTGATGCCATGTGATGCCATGTGATGCCATGTGATGCCATGTGATGCCATGTGATGCCATGTGATGCCATGTGATGCCATGTGATGCCATGTGATGCCATGTGATGCCATGTGATGCCATGTGATGCCATGTGATGCCATGTGATGCCATGTGATGCCATGTGATGCCATGTGATGCCATGTGATGCCATGTGATGCCATGTGATGCCATGTGATGCCATGTGATGCCATGTGATGCCATGTGATGCCATGTGATGCCATGTGATGCCATGTGATGCCATGTGATGCCATGTGATGCCATGTGATGCCATGTGATGCCATGTGATGCCATGTGATGCCATGTGATGCCATGTGATGCCATGTGATGCCATGTGATGCCATGTGATGCCATGTGATGCCATGTGATGCCATGTGATGCCATGTGATGCCATGTGATGCCATGTGATGCCATGTGATGCCATGTGATGCCATGTGATGCCATGTGATGCCATGTGATGCCATGTGATGCCATGTGATGCCATGTGATGTTGATGACAAAAAGTGTGCATGGCACAAGGACAAATGGCAACAACTTGCCACAGGTCATACGGAACTTATTCAAAATGCATACAGACACCAGCTGCCGGTTTGCCATTGCAACAAAGTGACCACACAGTCACAAGGGGTAGGGGCACTCACGAGGGGTAGGGGCACTCACGAGGGGTAGGGCCGGTATGTGATGCCACCAACGACCGTGCCTGCCTTGATGAGCATCATTGACTTATGCGTTCTGATGGGGTGTATGTGCATTTCGGGGAGGGGGGCGGGAAGGGGTGGGGTTGGGGGTTGGGGTGGGGAGGGGTATGAATAAAAAACAGACGAGCACGAAGCATGCACGCACATCACGGTATGTGATGCCACCAACCACCGTGGCAGCCTTGATGAGCATCATTGACTTGTGCGTTGTAATGGTTTCAGTGTGTGGATGGGGGATCAAGAGGAGTATGAGCCGAAAACACACGAGCACATGAGCCATGCAGGCAGCAATGCAGACTAGTTACCATTCTTACACTTGCATCAACCCCACGTCAGCATCACCCCCACGTCAGCATCACCCCCACGTCAGCATCACCCCCCACGTCAGCATCACCCCCCCACGTCAGCATCACCCCCACGTCAGCATCACCCCCCCACGTCAGCATCACCCCCCCACGTCAGCATCACTGACCGGTCGAGCAGCAGGCGCACGATGTAGTCTTTGGGCATGTTGGGCAGCTGCCGTGAAAAGATGTTCTTCAACCCCACCAGCCTGCCCCCAAAGCACTCACACCCATGCCATGCCCCATGCCCCATTCCCAGGAAGGACAAGGGAAAGAAGCGGATAGGATGGATTCAAAGCAAGGACAGTGGGAGCGAAGACGGAGAGGGAAGAGATAGGTTTGGGGGAAGGATGGCACGGCCCTTTACAGGGCATTGATTGCCGATGCATTGCATTGCATGAATAAACACGCCCAGGCGCCAATCGGTTGGATTACAGCCATACACACACCCAACCTTATCTACCCAACCCTGCCACACACCTGGGCAGTAGCATGGCTCGGATGCCATGCCCTGCCCTGCCATGCCACGCCATGCCATCCCATGCCTTGGCATGTTACCATGCATCCTCCTCCTACCACCACCATGCATTACGAGACCATTTGTGCGCATCATACCATATCATGTGTTCGTCCACCCCATCGTTCCGGCAGCATATGAATTTTAGAGTGCCAGCCGCCTCCTGCCACCACAGGGAGGTGTGGGGTGGGGTGGGGTGGGGTGGGGTGGGGAAGGGTGGGACGAGGTGGGGTAGGGTGGGACGAGGTGAGGTGGTGTGGAAGGGGGAGGAGTGGGGTGCCTGGGGTGGGGTGGGGGCACGCGAGGCAGATGGTAAATGGCAAGCAGCGGAGAGGACAAGGGAAGACGGGAGGGCGACAAGGTATGTGCGGGGACGGGTGAAAGGTGTTGCAGATGATGGCGATGAAGAGAGGAGGACATAGAGTGCGGAGGAGAGGTGAGAGACGGAGGAATGACGACAGTGGCGTGGAACGGGAAGGCTGGCATGCCATGCACCGCCATCAGCCATACACCGGTTACATCCACCCATCTCATTCAACCATTTCCCCTCCACTGCTCCCCCTTCACTACTCTCCCCCCTCACTCCTAATCACACCTCCGTCATGCTTCCACCTCACCCCCGCCCTCCCTTCACTTGCCGCCCACCTCCGCGTGCAGGCTCGCTTCCCGCGCGCAGTAAGCGCCGCTCGCCGCCTGCTCCTTCCCCCCATCATCCGCGTTCTCTCCGCCGCCTGCCCCTCCTTGCGCCTGTCCCTCTCCGCGCGCCTCCGCCTTCGCGTCCCCTCCGCCCCCCTCTCCCCCGCGCGCAACTGCCTTCTCGTCGCCCTCCGCCGCCCCGTCAGCGTCGTCGAATTCCCCGCCAAATTCCCCCCCGCCTCCGCCGATTTCCCCGCCCCCTGCGCTGTCGAACCTCCGCTCGTGGTTGTCGGCGCTAGCCCAACCGCCCCTCCCATCCGTTCCCATCACAGCCGAATGTTTCTCGAGGCCTTCGTGCGACAAACGTGTAACAATTCTCACGGTCGTTCGTCGTTAACCCAGGCTTTATTCGCGAGCTGGATATTCAGCTGGGGATCGACGTGAGTGCGATTGGTCTGTCCGAGCGCGTTATAAGGTTCTCTTACCAATCGCAGACGGAAGCAAGACTTCGTCGTTAGAATAGCGCGAGGGTTGCGTAGAAGCTACCACATATACAGTAAGTGTTGTCCACACAACTCATAGTTGCTGCTTGCGTTATATTGTGGAAGTCATAAAAAAACACTTCTTTATACGGTAGGCTGAAGGGAGGCTAAACGAGTCGTAAAATGCTTCTTAGATGCTTGACTGCAGATCGTAGCCGCCATACACGCTACCTGGCTAGGTAAAACACGATCCGGGCTGAACTGACGCGTTAGATTGATACCACTAGCGGAGTTTCGAAAGTTCGAGTGTTTAGGAGGTTCTGGAAAGAAGCTACGATTACTTCGACGACGCTTCTGCCCGTTGACCGACCAACCGATACGGAAGCGCCCAAGTAGGCGTTGTAGTATTTACAAGTCCCGAGGGATGAGCAGAAAAACGAACACCTGTTCGGTTCGCCTCGAACGTGTTCGAGGCGAACCGAACAGGTTAATATTTTTGGCTTAAATCGTTCGCCGAACAGTGTTCGATGTTCGCCCGAACACGCCTTCATAGGCGAACGGCGAACACCTGTTTTTGTAGCCCTAAATCGTTCGCCGAACCGAACAGTGTTCGGTTCGGCTGTTCGAGCTGTTCGACATAAGACGAACCCGAACCTGTTCGAGTTCGTCCTCTGAAAGGGATGAAGGGAGTTGAGCTCCAGGAAGACTAGGGGCCTTCCAGGGTTGTACGGCATTCGCGAAACCCACATGACGTCGGGACTCGTTACGACTTGTGGTAAAAGTTTCGCAAGTGTCGCAGGCAGCACTGGTGTCACGGTCACCAGAACCAACCCTGTTCGTTCTACCCTTTAGTGCAACCCTCGCTTGCTCTTTCTATTGCACACGTAACACCTATCCACGACTTCGATTTTTTAAAAGCGTAAAATCGTGTCGTCGTAATCTCCAGCACTCTCCACTCGACTCATTCCGTGATAACCACCGCACCAACGCGCCACACGCGGAGGCTGCTCCGCCGCCACGACTCCTCCGCTGTTGTAGAGGTGAATGGCTCAGCCCGTCTGTCCGTTCCTGCCCACCGATTTGCACCGTTTCATTAATTTATTTAATTTTATTTTCCGGCATCTGCATCTGATCAGCCAGGTCGTGTCGGCCGCGAACCACGGCTATGCATGGGGCAGGTTTAGGGTGTCGCGCACCGCATTGGTTCACCTCGTTCCAATGCCGCGTCGTTCTTGCTCCCCTATCCATAATTTATCCCATGTCACCTCTGCCGCGCTCCCCTCGTCACTCGCGCTTCCGTTCCCTCCGCGCGCTATATGCGCCTGTCACGCTCCCTGCTTCCCGCCTACCAGCGCTCTGCCTCCCTCTCGCTGGGTCGCTGCCCCTCACACACACCGAACCAATCAGGGTTCGCGACGCTGTCGTGCTTCCCCTCCCCCTTTCCCCTCGTTTTCTCCCCGTTTCGCCCCGTCCCTACTTTGGACCACGCAAAGACGCGCAGGTCGCGCGGGTCGCGCGGCACATTCGAGGGCGTGAAGGGGACCGTCTCGAGCAGCAGCACGTGCGAGCAGCTCTGCGCGCCTCACTGGAGATGCTGTGCCGCCCCATGTGAGCCCCCTCAACCCCTCGCCCCCTCCCTTCTGCCCCCATGGCCCCCTCCTTCCCGCTCCCGTTGCCCCTTCTCTCCCGGCCCCTTTTCTCCCTCCGTTTCCTGTCCCTCGCCCCCTCCTTCCTCCCTCCCAACGCACGGGTCGCGCTGCTGCTGCCCCTCGCGCACCAGCTGGCGCGCCTTCCCACCACCTCACGCCCACCTTCCCTCATCGCATCAATTCCATGATCTTACGTCCCCTCTGTTCCGCACCCTCTTGTATGACGAAGTGTTTTGAGACGTCTCAAAACACTTCTTCATACACGTCGCATCAGCTGGCGCACACACCTTCCCACCACCTCACGCCCATCCTCCCTCATCGCATCATTTCCATGGTGTTACGTCCCTTCTGCTCCTCACCCTCTTTCTCTGTCATCCCTTCCATCCCCAGTGCTGCAGAGGCCCTCGTTTCAAGAGCACTCACTGTGTCACACACCGCTCCTGCATCACGCCATACAGCCCGCATGCCCCGTCCCCTCGCAGCCTTCGCAGCAGCCCTCTCTCTCCCACTCGCTCCCCGTGCCTCTCCCACCCTGCACCTCCTGCCATCTCGCACTGCCCACTCAGTAACAAGCCTCCCCTGCGCACACACCCAGCACAATCAGCACGCGAAGCACACCCAGCACGCGGGCAGCAGGCATTTCTCTCGCACGCAGCACACACAGCAGTGCCGCAGCAGCAACCACGTGTTTGTGCCGCTGTCACCATCAGCTACCGGCGTGCCCCCTTCCATCTATCAAGCGCACGCAGGGCGAGTGAGTGCCATCCGCTCTCCACTGCACACCATCTGCGCCGCCACGAGCCGACAGCGTGGGGGTATGGCTGGGACTGCTGCTGACGCTGCAGCAGGTGGGGCTGCAGACGCTGCAGCAGGTGGGGCTGCAGCAGAGCAGCCAGCTGGGCCAAGCGGTGTGGATGGCACAGAAAGAACCACGGCACAGGGTGCAACAGAGGGAGGCGCTACTGGCGCGCCGGGGACGAGCGGGGAAGGGGAGGGGGCACTGCAGGGGGGCGGGGAGGGGCAGGGACAGGCGCAGGGCGATGGGGAGGGTGGGGAAGCGGGAGGGGCGGGGGAGGAGGAGGATCCGTTGGTGCAGCACGTGGTGATTCGTCGCGACCTGATAGAGGCGCTGCAGTGGCCACTGGGGTCCGTGATCACTCAGGGCTGCCACGCCAGTGTGGCCGTGCTGTGGCAGCACCGCCACCACCCCAACGTGCTCAAGTACTGCGGCCAGCTCGACTCCATGCGCAAGGTGGGTTGCAATGCAAGCCTGCTCTCTGCCGCTGTGGCAGCGCCGCCACCGCCCTAACGGGGGGAGGAGGGGGGAGGCGAGGGGGGAGGAGAGGGTGAGGTTTGCAGCACTTCTGTTACCGGCAGCGCAGCATTTTGAATCCGTGAAGCCGCAGGAACGACTGGTTTGAGCTAGAAAAGAAGGTATCTCAATGTCTTTACTCTGGAAAGCTGGGTCTTGGTCACCTTGTTTGAAACATGAGTGCTTGAGTTTTCAGTTGTGTAGTAACTGCGTTCCCCACTGTCACCATCAGCATCAACCCAGTGTCACCATCAGCATCAACCCACTGTCATCGTCCCTCACAACCCTCAGTGATCTCCTTTCTGGATATTAACATCTCTTTCCCATCCCCACCAACCCCCCTCCCCCCACCCCATCCTCCCTTTCCCCCTACCTCTCACTTACATTATTGATTTCAAGAACCTCATAAAAATTATGAGTTTTATCTCTCTCCTCTTATGCCTCCTGGTGCTGCATATTCGCATATCTACCCCGCGAAACTGCCAGCCTTCTCTCGCTCGCCCTTTGAACACAACACACACTTTTTCCTCATTGTGTTGAATGTTGTCATTTTTTTCTCCCTTTTTCCGCCACGCACTTCTGGGCGGACTTGCTATCCCAATCTCACGTCGCTTCGGACTAAATTTCAATAGCTTTTTCATGCTTAGACTGCATTTCAATAGCTTTAATGGCACAGCGTTCATATGGCCATGAACCATTCAGCACCTCATCCAGTGTTGTAGGCCTGTTACTGATTTTTCAAACGATTTTTCTCCCCGTTGTGGGTCCCCTCCCCCCCCCCCCCCCCCCCCCCCCCCCCCCCCCCCCCCCCCACTCGCCGCCCTCCCCCCTATCCCCCCTCAGGTGACACTGGAGGTGAAGGGGGAGGTGCAGCTGTTGAATCTGTCCAAGAAGCTGCAGGAGGCGGGCATCACACACCGCGTGTGGATGGAGCAGCCTGAGAACATGCCCACCTGCATCGCCACTCTCCCACACCCCAAGAACGTTGTTGCGCCTCACATGAGGAAGCTCAAGCTGTGTAAATGAAGGAGATGTAACATTAGGAAATGATGTACCGTGGAATTGGTTTCTTGGATGAAGTGGCTATTTTTGTATCAGGGATGCTTCAAACACCTAAATCAACAGGAGTATGACACTTCAGTGGAGTGAAATTTCACTGTTATGTAGTACCCACCTTCTTGGGACATTATGGGAAACCCCTTAGGACATGCTCCAATGTTTTTTGACGGTGTACAATCGCGAATCCCTCAATAACAGGGCCGCATGACCACCACCAACATTTTACACGTCGGCGCTCGCAACGGCATGCCTGCTAGCGCCCGGTTTCCCGGTTCCTTCGAAAATACATGAACTTCTGTCGAGGCGCGCAACTTCAAATTGCGCGCGCCTCGACACCACCGTCAAACCAACCAACCCAGCATAATCGTGCTCCCCGCTTCCCCATTCGTCTCACGTTCTCCACCTCCCAACACAAGATCACTCACCCAACACGAGCGAAACACCTTCACTCGCACCTGAAGCGCTGTGGCGGCTTTTGCCCAACCATGATTCCGAAATGACGCAGATAGCAAGTAGCATCACTCGAGTATTTAGCTGAACAAGTTAGGACTTTGATCGCATGGTGGGTACCAGCCCTCACCAGTAGGGGCTAGCTTCGTGGCACCGCTATGACACACCAGAGTGCTGCTGCGGATGGCGGTTACTAACATGACACATTCAGTATCGTACGCTACTAACATTATAACGAAAAGTGTAGGCTCCTGTTGACGCAACGGTACTAGGTGTCGCAATAGCTGTTTGATTCTTTCTCGAGGATCTTGGACCAGGCCATGGCATGCAGCCCGCCTCGCTGCACAGCCTTTCTGAAAGGCGCAATCAGTGTTTACCCTCCACCTCCGCGCGTAATATCTAGTCCTCTTCAACGTGCACGTTTGAGCCTTGCTAAGGGTGAGCACGTTTCCGCACTTCCCATTCCACGGCTGCGTTCTTGCTCAGCTAGTGGCTGTATGCTCTGTTAGTAGTATTTTATCCTGCATGACTTACCTTTGCCGTGCTGTGCTCTATCCGTGTGCGGTTAATCCTCAGGAAACGACGACATTCTTTGGTTGGAATTCTTCCGGTCGCAGACCCATCAGCAGCCGTCGCGCATCGTCGCACGGACTTTCGTGCGATGCGATGTAGCTCGCCAGGGTTCGTCTCGCCGCCAGAGCCAGCAATCAGTGAGCGCGGGCGCGACAGCGCGGGGGAAAACGGCGAGAAGCCCTGCGGGGGCGACGACCGCCGAGCGGCTACGGGTGCGGAAGGAGGGCAGCGCGCCGAGGAAAGCGGAGGCACCCGCGCCGGGTGCTGGGCGCGCCAAGGGCGAGCTTGACGCATTTGAGACGTGGCTGTGCGGCGGAGAGGCGCACCGGGAGAGCGCGAAGTGGGAGAAGGACGGCGGCGGCAGGGGCGCAGGCAGACCGCGGGGCGGCTCAGCGCAACCGGCGGCGGCTCCGACGCCCACAGCTCCGCAGGTGAGGCGAGTGCGCGGAACGGCGTAGCACTCGTAGGCAGGATGTGTGGCCTTCAACCCGTTCACGTCGCACGTCACCGACACCTGCACCTTCGGTGCTTCCCGAGTCAACGCGAGCCATCACTCAACCCCTTCCCTCCCTTCACGTCCCCTCCTCATCCCTTGACCTGCTCCCACAGAGAGCGGCGCAACCGCGGCAGCAGAAGGTGAACGGCGGGGCGAGCCAGAAGACGGGGCAGGCCGCCCCCGCTGAGAACAAAAAGCCTGCGGAGTGGCGCGCGGCTCGTGGGGGAACGACGCACTCCGCCGCGAACGCGAACGCGCAGCAGAATAAATCTGGCGAGGCCTCGCGCTGCCGTGGCAGCAGCGGTTGCCGGCCCAGCAGTGATGGCGCCACCAGCGGCAGCTGTAGCAGCAGCTGCAGCAGCATTGGGTGTGCAAAGGTCGGGCCGGAACTGCCCAGGCAAGGTCGGTCTACCGGTGGTGAGGCTCCCTCTCCCCGAACCAGTCGACAAGCCAGGCGGGCTCGGAACTCGTATGCCTCGCTGGCTGACGTGGCAATGGCCGGCATGACGTGGATTGCCGGGCCAGAGGGAGTTAAGATCGAGGGAAGCGTGCAGCGGTGGAGGGAGGGCGAGGGGCGGGAGGGGAGGGTACTGGTGGAGAAGGCAGTCGTGTCGCTGCAGCTCTTCCTGCCGCTCTCGCTCGTCGACCTGTCGCTGCGTGCCATGTGGCAGGGAATCATGAGTTGGTGGCCTGGCGTGGCTTCGAGCTGGGTGGGAGCGGCGGTGCAGGCGGCTTGTCGTGTGGGCTGCTGGTTCTCGCGGCTGAGGGCGTGGTGTGTGGTGCTCGGCGCGCTGCGAGCATTGCATCTGCTGCTCTGTGCGGTCAAGAGCAGGCCGTGTGCCGCATGACGCTGTGTTCAATAAGAACCATGCGCCCGTGGACTTCTGCCTTACTGATCGTGCTAATCCGGGGGTGTAGGATAGTCTATTCTTTTTTGTACAGATTGTGGATGTATTGTGCCTTGTAATATTCAACACAAGGAATCGAGTGCCGTTCACTCCATTCCATCACGATGTGGACTCTATGCCCCGTTCTATTCGTCCCGTTTCTGTACCAGCAACCTGAGTTGCGTGCTTCAACCTCGTCCCTGACTAGGCATACGGCTGGCCAGAGACTGCCATCACAACCTCAACGCCTCCAATAGAATCCAGGAGAAACGCCATGGATCAGCGTTTACATGCCTGAAAAGGCATACAGCAACCAGGATACTCTCATTATGACTCAATTAACCAAAAATGGTTGGCATTGCATTGCATGGCCCAAATGCTGTGTTATTGTTGATTGGTGATGGAATTGGGATGGGGCTGTTGCTAGATGTACAGTACATACATGTCACAACAACTAGGTAACCTTAGGAGGCATGGCTTAGGCTTAGGAGGAAGACTAGGAGCTAGGAGATGGTATCGAGAGGTTTTGGCAAAGAAGGGGTTGCACTAGAAAGAGTGGTACAAGATATAGGCAAGGCAAAGGGTACACCACCAGCAGTTGATATAACTAACCTAATACACTAGTAAGCTGTAGGCAGGTATAAGATATGCAATATAAATTAACACACCCCCGTAACTGCCTACGGCTATAGCTAGTGGTGTCTGGTAGCAGGTCGCCTGAAGAGCAGTTGCTGTAGCTGGGATACGCACAGAAACAGCGGTGGCTGATCGGCAGCACCTCTGACTGCCAGAACGGAGAGAGGAGAGCGTAGGCTGCCGGTGTTACACACCAACGGTTGGATAGGAGGAGGAAGCCGGTGGTGTACATGAGGCGGATGAGAGGAGGAGAAGGCGGAAGCAAGGGCGCAGCGGAAGAGAGAGAGTCATGAGGAGGCGAGAAGTGGAGAAATACGAGTAAAGGAAGTGCAGCGGAAGGAGGAGGAGAAGAGGGGGGGCGGCTGCCTTAAAATAACCGCCATCCCCACACCCTCTTCCTGTCAGAATCCCAGTCACTAACCACTGGGATAAAAGGGCTTATTTATATAGCGGGTGAGTGCGCCCATAACCCCCCAGGCCGACGTGCCTGTAACCCTTCCCTAGGATCATCGGGGATCCCCAGTGGACCTCTGACACCCCCCCGCACTGGGATGCCCGAGGTGCACACACCGGGAATCGAACCCGAGACCTTCGCTCTGATACCATGTCAGAATCCCAGCCACTAACCACTGGGATAAAAGGGCTTGTTTGTATAGCGGGTGAGTGCGCCCATAACCCCCCAGGCCAACATGCCTGTAACCCTTCCTTAGGATCAATCGGGGATCACCAGTGGACCTCTGACACTTCCCCCCCCCCCCCCCAAACGCGGCACGCACTGCAGATGCACGGGCAGCAATGAGGAAGAGGATGAGGGAGGGTGGGGAGGGTTCAAGGGGGCTTAAGCACCCCCGTAGCCGCTGGCGCGAGCCCCACCACCTCCCCCCCGCAACGGCCACCGTAGAAGAGAGCGGCGGCAGGTGCGGAGGCGGGGAGCGGGGTAGCGATGGCGGGGGCGCTGGTGGCCGCTGCTGGCGCTGGCGCTCGCGTCCAGCGCTGGCGCATGGCGCTGGCGCTGGCGCAGGCGACCGGCGCAGGCGCTGGCGCTGGCGATTGCGACAGTCGCTGGCGCACGGCACTGGCGCTCGCGCAGGCGTCCGCGACGGTCGGAGGCGCTGGCGACGGCGTCCGCGACCAGCGGCGGGGCGACGCGTCAGCGCGCGGGACGGGGCGACCAGCGCGTGGGGCGGGTAACGCGGGGAGAGCAGCGCGTGGTGGGCAACGGGGAAGCGCCTCGAAGGGCGCTGCGACGGTCGCCATGGCAACGACAGCAGCCATGGCGAATGAAAAAATGGCAAGGTCCTTAAGAACGAACCTGCTCTGATAGCATGTCACAACAACTAGGTAACCTTAGGAGGCATGGCTTAGGCTTAGGAGGAAGACTAGGAGCTAGGAGATGGTATCGAGAGGTTTTGGCAAAGAAGGGGTTGCACTAGAAAGAGTGGTACAAGATATAGGCAAGGCAAAGGGTACACCACCAGCAGTTGATATAACTAACCTAATACACTAGTAAGCTGTAGGCAGGTATAAGATATGCAATATAAATTAACACACTATACAGTAAACCCTACTGCCAAATTCCTGACCTCACGCCATCACACAATACTGCAAGCAGATTCCTAGCCTTGTGAATTCTTGGTTGGGGAACCTGAGCTGAGGACAATGTTGTTACTTCGCTACACTACAATATGGTATGGTAGACTGGTTGGTGGTTTTTGATGGGCGAAAAACTGCTTCCTTACATTACGAGCACCGCTGGGACTGTCCGGTTGGGGGATTACAAAGATCCTCACAGATTGTGTGTTCACTCCTCCCTAGCCAGTCAACGTGCAGGTGGAGAAAGACGGTCCTTTCACAATGGCTGGATGAAAAGGCTGTCTACATAGAGAGCCTTTTCTCGAGCAACTGACCCCCAGGAGAATTGGCAACGTGAGGTGGCTGATAGCACTGGCGAGGTAGAGTAAGCTGAGTATGAAACGCAGGGCTCTCGTTATCCGTGTAATTTACTCTGTTTCTCTGAAAATCAGAGTGGTTTTTAGGGGGGCACTCTGTACCTGCTGGGTAATTTTTTTGAGAGTTACTTGTTCTCTGATCTGCCAGGGTTTTTGTTTAAGGTCACTCTGGAGCGCCAGTGTTTCTTTCTCGGATAGTGAGCTTACTCTAAACGGGGGATACATGTACCCCCCCGACCCCCCACGTTCCCCCCGACCCCCCACGTGGCCGTCCTGCCACTCAGCACCGTCGAATGTGAGCGTGGATTCTCACGCCAGAACATCATCAAGAGTTGGCAGCGCACAGCACTCAACGACACGCGGCTCACCGAGCTCATGAGCATCCACATGCTCGACTACAACGTGGAGTGGCCAGATGTCGTGGACATCTGGCGCAAGCAGAAGAAGAGGCGGCCTACAAAATCCCATGCACCCTTCCCAGCAGCCAAGGACAAGGGCAAGCCTGAGGCCTGTCAGAATCCCAGCCACTAACCACTGGGATAAAAGGGCTTGTTTGTGTGGCGGGTGAGTGCGCCCATAACCCCCCAGGCCAACGTGCCTGTAACCCTTCCCTAGGATCAACGGGGATCACCAGTGGACCTCTGACACCCCCCCGCACTGGGATGCCCGAAGTGCATACACCGGGATTCGAACCCGAGACCTTTGCTCTGATACCATGTCAGAATCCCAGCCACTAACCACTGGGATAAAAGGGCTTGTTTGTGTGGCGGGTGAGTGCGCCCATAACCCCCCAGGCCAACGTGCCTGTAACCCTTCCCTAGGATCAACGGGGATCACCAGTGGACCTCTGACAAGGCCAGCATGGACGATGAACGGGAGGATGACGTGGCAGACAATAAGTGAGCCTGTGGTGTGGTACTAGATCTTGTACATCCTATATATGAATGAAGTTTTAATATTCGACATCCCTTGTAGTGCACTGCAACAAATAACATACAAAGCATAATAATCAGAATAAACGAAAAAAAATACTCTGAGGTGACAGGGTTGAAAATCTGCCGGACAGTGTTACACTGACATCTAAGAGCTAGGCTCGCCCAACACTCTGGATTTAAGGGTTCGGCCAAAAACGCCTCTGGATTTAAGGGTGCTCCAAAACGAAAAAAAAGCCCTGATGAAACGGAAGAGAGGAGCACAATGTGCACCTGCCAACCATCAGATTTGTTGTTGTGAACCACTTTCAGCCAGCATCCACAATACAAAGCAAGCAGAGGCACACAAAAATCAATCCCCACGACACACTACAATACAATACCCCCACCCACGATTGAAGCGTACAGTACAAAGCACAGCCCACATGTTTCCAGCAAATTGATGCCACAAATCCGTGCAGCAGCATTGGTGCTCTTGAGAAGGCAGAATTCCTCCCTGCTCCTTCTACCGTAGCCAACAGCCAAGGAGAA